CAATAGAAGCTCTGATTTTGGATCCAGAATCTGCAAGGTAGGTTTGATAGTTAACTGCATACTCTTTTTCTGCTTATTAATAAATCCTGGGAGCTTTAAAACTAGGAATTCAAAGAATGTTCAGAAAGTTTCTCAGTAGACCTTTCTAATTATATTCTGGGCAGGCTTGAGGATCTGTTGCTACTGTGCCATACCTGGCAAACTGGGAACTCTCTTGGGTTCTGCATTTCATACTGATTTTGCTCTTGAGAATACTGGACTTAGCTTAAATGCAGACTTGAAGTTGAAATCTCTCCTTTGGCTGCTTACTTTAATTTGTGTTGTGTGTTAGATCCCATACCTGTTGCTTGCACTTGTAAGTGCACCTTAGCTTCCTTCAAAGTTGTGAGAATATATGCACTAAATTAGTTCAAATTTTTAATGTAAAGCCATCACCTCTGGCTCTTTTTCTAACAGTGAGCTTAAGTCCACTAGAAAACAACATTGAAGTCCTGATGAATTGAATCACTGCTTAAAACTCCCAGGCTGAGATTAAATGGAAAATACTGTGGGTAAAAGCTCTCAGTGATTTTATAGCTGGTAATAAAAGTGAACATCCTAAGATACTGTAATACTCATTATGAATTAAGCATTGCTTAGAAGGTGTATTAGTCAAATTTGTAGGAAGCTGGGTGTGTACGAGGTGGAATTCTATTCAGAGGAGGAGATTATAAACTTCAAGATTTAGTTTTAATTGTGACTGGCATTCTTGCTTTGTGTTGTGAGATTTTCTTGACTGTTACACACACTGCAGGGTTAAATAAAATCCAGGGGAAGTAAGTATGCTGAGTCTGTTAGACCTGTCACTGCCTCAACTGAGAGGGTGGGGACAAGAAATGGTGAATAAGTGGTAGTTAAGAAAGATTTAAATGCAAAGGGCAAGTGTTATAGTAGAAAAATAATTTTAAAAACAGAGTAAACAGTTTGAAAGACATTTCTTAATGGATTTCATGTTGTAATGCCTTGTCATGTCTCTTTGGCAGTATGCCTTCCAGGTTATGATGAGGAAGGTAGGTTAGACATCATGAAAAGTTTCTTCTGGTTTTTTTATAGTTTCCAGGAATATAGCTCAAATGGAACAGCTCATGTTGAAAGTGAATATGAAAGAAGAATGATGTCTGTATTTAATCGTGTACTAGAGGAAGTGGAATCTCTCAACAGGAAGTATGCTCCTGTGTCTTACTTGGCAAGTAACAGTTTAAAATGTATATTGTGTAGAGAAAGGGGCCAACATCCCAGAACTCCATATATCTGTGGTTGGCAAGAAGCTGGGAAGCATTCTCAGTTACTTGGCATTACTCATTTACTTGACACAAATGGTCTCTACACTTGTTTAAAAATAGTTCAAGAACCATTTTGCTAAAACATCTGGTAGCCTCACTGGTCTGATTAAAAATAATCTTTTTAAAATTCCCATCCTAAGAGCACAGCAGATGCTGATAAGGTAACTAAAAGCACTATCGGGTCTCTGTCAGACCCCTCACTGCATTCACATTCAAACACTGGAGCACATTCTCTTCGTTCATGTTCTTGCTGCAGAGAAATTCTCTGGTGGTGGTGAGCACTGTGCTCTGTGAGTGTAGCATTTCTCTTATCAGTGCAGGTCATCAGAGAGCACGGTGTGGAGTGTGCTGGGTGCAAACACTGAGCTGATAACGCTCTCCTTTACAGGGCTGGTGGGTTTGTCTCTTACTGCTCAGGAACATCATAAAGCTGAAGTGCATGTTAATGGGAACAAGGTAGTTTGTTTGTCATGGCTGCCATCTGTTTGCCTGGTTTCTTAATCAAACAGTCCTTACCAATTTCAAATAGAATAGAAGAGTAAATCATGTAAACCACAGCAAAGGTAAACCCTGTAAACGTAGTTGTGGCTGGCTCCGCACCAAGGCAGCTTGGTGGTTTCAGTGGCACTGCTTGTGTTCATCTGAGCCAGAGGCATGGTGCAGCAGGGAAAGAAAGAGTAGACAAGAGGCTTAAAACTTAATTACTGCATTAAGTTGTGATAGATGCCAGCCTTTTTCCTTGGAGGGGAGTTGTTTTTTGAGAGTTTTTCTGGATGAGTGTTTCAAGCAGAAAGTGCTCTGCTGACTGTAACAGTAGGACTGGAAAGTTTGTATTTTTCTTTTGCTTGGCCTCCTTGTTTTTTTCCAGAGCAGAATACCTCCTTCAATAAGGGGCAGAACATAAACAGAGCAGCTGAATGTAGTCACTGTCATCTTAGTGGCTTTAATTCTGTAACTGTATTAATATATTTTTGGACTTAAAATGGAAATTCCTGATGTTTCAGTACCTTAAGTATATGGTTTTTGCTGTGTCATGAATGATATTTTTTCTCAATTGTTCTGACTCTTGTTTCTTGCAGCATACAGCTTGTCTATGCAATGCTGTCATTGCATTGTTGAAGGTGCCCCTTTCATTTCAAAGGTATTTTTTCCAGAAGCTTCAGTCTACAAGTATTAAGGTATGTACTGCTCAAGTAGGACCTCAGATTTCTCTTTACAGAGCCTTTCATGAGAAAAGCCCTACTGAAGGCACAAAGCTTCAGCATCTTTAGTGAATATACATAACTCAAATAGCATTTAGGTTAATTTGTTAGGAATAACTTAAATAACATGTATGTATGGTTGTTCAGAACCACTAGACTGTCACTTAGGCAAGTGGGATTCAGTTTTTTGATTGCAAAGCCTTAAAGATAAAATGTACCTGGAATTTTTGTTGATTCTGAGTCTGCAAAGCTAAGTAATTCTGGTCCTGGGAGGGCAGCTTTTATAGATTTGTATTAGTTTTTTTCCCTTTTTCTTTAAACAGTGTTCACTATCTTGGACGAAAATTGTCATATATATCAGCTCACTGACTAAGAGTGAGTGTATATGGCTATGGTGGTGTTTTTTTTGTTTTACTCAAGTGCTTCTTTTTTCTGGGAAAAGTGAAAGCCTTAAGTTTTTTTAATATTACTCATTGCATTTTGCTTCTTTGTTCAGCTTCATATTTCTTCCACATCTTTTGAAGAAGTAAAGTAAATGAAACTGATACAAAGATAATATCTGGTATTGCTGATGATGTATATTAGTTAATATAGTAATGAATACTCTGATAATGTCTTTGTTTCCATTTGCTGATTTTCCTACCCAACCTCTCCTCAGAAATTTTTCTGTAAGAAGGTGTCCCGTTTCATCCTTGAATTCTGTTTGCTTTTCTGAAGGCTCATAATTACATTTTGATCTGTTTACTTGTGTTCCAGCTTGCTCTATCCCCGTCTCCAAGGAACCCAGCAGAGCCTATAGCAGTACAGAACAACCAGCAATTGGCCCTCAAGGTGGAAGGAGTGGTTCAGCACGGATCTAAACCAGGCCTTTTCCGTAAAATCCAATCCGTCTGTCTGAATGTCTCTTCGGTGCTGCAGAGCAAATCTGGACAAGACTATAAGGTGTGGATAGAGTAGAGTCAGGACGAGTCTTAAGCTTTTTTGCTGTGTTTTGCTGTTCTTTTGTTTGACTCTGGGCAGCAGAATTTCCAGGGTGAAATGAATGGGTGGTTCTGTAATCCTTTCACTCCTGCCAGTTGACATTCAAGCACTGGCCAGGGCCAAGCATAACGTGTGAAGGGAATCTGGGATTTTTAAGTCTGCAATATGTCAGTACCTTTTTGTAACAGCTTTTCTTCCAAACAAAGAGGCTTTGTGATGTTCAGAACAAGTCATTAGGAATCTGCCTGAGATGATGAGAACTCAGCCCAGTTATACATCATACAAAACTCCACAGGGAAAAAAAACAAACCAGGAATAGATTATTCTCTACCACATAATCTCTAGAATTTCTTTATAGTCATTTTAAGGTTCTTTTCTTTTGTTTGTGGAAATTTTGAGGACACACTGTCCAAATCAAATAGCATCTGCAGAGACACATATTAAATTTAAGTAAACAGTTTCATCAAAGATTGCATGCCTAAGATTTAGGTTCAACTAACATGTGATAGTGAAAGGCCTGGTTTTGGTGTGTTTCGGGGTCAGGTTTTTGTTTGTTTTGTTGTTTGGGGTTTTTTGAGGGCAAATAGGAGAAAGTCAATGGCTTGTAAAATAACAGGACTAGGAAGTGTGTGATGTTTGACTCACATTACTTTGTGGAAAAGTAGAACCTCAGGTAGAAGATGACTTGTTACCTTATCAAGCTGTCTCAGGCATGCACATGTGTTTATGTTTAGGAGAATTGAGGACAGCTTTTTCCTTTTTTTTCCTCTCCTTCAAATGGAGAGTTGAAAAGTTATTTTTGGCAGGTTTATGTAAAATGGTGTTTTAACTTTCCATCTGTGTTCTCAGATTCCTATTGACAACATGACCAATGAAATGGAGCAGAAGGTGGAACCGCACAACGACTATTTCAGCACTCAGTTCCTGTTAAACTTTGTGATCCTTGGCACCCACAACATCACAGTGGAGTCCTCTGTGATAGACTCAAATGGTATTGTCTGGAAAACTGGGCCTAAAACAACTATTTTTGTTAAGTCTCTTGAGGATCCATACTCTCAGCAGGTCCGTCTCCAGCAGCAGCAAGGACAGCCTCCATCCCAGCAGCAGCAGCAGAGAACCGCGTACTCACGCTTTTGATTCCCAGAGGTCACTCGGTCCTGCTCAACTGGTATTGCAGTTTTTCTTGGACACTTTTTTTTTTAATTGTTTTTTGAAGACTTCTTATCATCATAACCTTCTCCTAGAAAGTCTCAGATGCCAATTTGTTGCTTTTGAAATTATCTGGGATAAATCTGAACTTGATTCAGCAGAGGCAACTGTTCAAATTTGGAGTTGTGCTCTTGCTATAAGAACTTCTACCTGATCTCTAACTTCTGTTTACAAACCTATTCCAGCAGGCTCCACAAACTACAGTAGCAGGGGACACTAAGAACTTGTTGACTGGTACTTTCCATTTTTTTTGAGGCACACATAGGTTCTAATGTCAGGTTTACAGGACATTGGGAAACACTTCACTTTGGCTGGTTATATAGAAATGAGTGTAATATCAAGTGTGTATCTTTTAATATGAAGAAATTGTCAGGAATATCCAGAGATTCTTTTTCTGACATTTCAATAGCAAGTTCCAGTATTTGGCTGGAATTTGTATGTTATTGCAACTCATCAGCATTACTTAATGCATGCAGCTGAAAGAAAAAACATTGCAGTTCACTTCTGATAACTTGTCACTGCAGAGGGAGGAGACTGGTTGAGGGGTTGATGTTGGGGGAGTCCTGAAAGAGGCAGAGTTTTATAGGTGGGAATAATCACTGTCTCTGAGATGATATGAAAAATATTACTGTGCTGTTTTTAAATTTTTATGCATCTGTGTTACTGAAACCTGTCATTTTGTTGGGTTTTTTTTACTTGCTCTTTTAAGGAGGAAGTTAAAATTAATGACAACTTGCAAGTTAACAGCTTTGTTTTTTAAAAGAAGTCCTTTGTACCAAAAATTTGTAATCTTATTTATTCTTTGACCAACTTGCTAAGCTTAAATGTTAATTTTACAAGATAACTTGAAATAGAATTTTGCCAATTCTAGAAATAGATCCAGAATAATTCTGGAAATATGCTGCTTCATACATAATTTTCACACCTCATTTGTGATATAAAGGGCTGAACTGTATCCAGACTCATGGGCAGTAGATCACATAAGATGACCTTCATCTGATCTTCATAAATAGTCTCTGCGTATCACTTTGTAGAAAAGCAGGACCCACTTGGGTGAGGAGGAGGTGGATGAATGGCACTTCTTACATACTTCAGCTTGTTAATCTCTCTCATTGGAGCAGAAATTTTTATTGTTATTTTCTCAGCAAATTCCCATGCTACTGTTTATTTCTTCAATCTGATTTCATTCTAGAGCTGACTGGAGTTCATGGATTTTGCTTCCTTCAAGTGCAGAGAATCTGATAATGAACTGGTGTAAGCTGAGGCTTCTTTTGCATAGCAGGATGAAGGATTTTTTGCTGTGTTTTCCTATAGTAGCTCCTCTTGGCTTGAAACTGTTAAAAAAAAGAAAAAAAACTGGAAGTGATGATGCTAGATGTCGTATCTTGGTCAGGCTATAGTCCTAACTAGAAAAGATAATTGGGATGCAAGGTAGAAACAGAAGACATAAAATTGGTGAAAAGTTGAGCAGCATCCTCCTTAAATTATTTTCCTTTTGAGCAGGAGGCACAAAGTGCCACTGCCTTTCAAGCTGACTGAGGAAAGTGGTGGTTTCTGTGCCACTTTTGTGGTTCCATGACAATAGTTTGGTGTGTGTGTATATACATGCAGCTGTGTGCACACATGCATACATGTACCTGTAGCTGCATTTAATTAAATGAAAGTCCAGAAAGAGGTAATTGACCTGCTGTTGTGTATGCTCTCTGTCAGACTGAAGACCTGAACTTTTTGTGGTCATTTGGTTTTTTTCATTAAAGGCATAGATCAGTGTCTTTACCACAAAAACCTCTGTACTTTAATGCCAAAAAAAAAAAAAAAAAAAGAGACTAAGAGGTCAAACAATTTTTTTAATCCTGCATAATGAATGTGTGTTTCTTGCTGTTATTGACCAATATGTTGGTGGAAACCTTTGATGGTGCTATTCCAAAACAACTCAGAAATTACAAGACATTTCCACACTGGGGAACAAACTTTTCTCATAAGTCATGTGATGTTCAGAGTGCATAGTTAAACTTACGAGAAGCCTAGTAGGAAAAAACCCCAGCCTTATCCAGGGAAAGCCCTGCTCTGGCTTGAGGCTTAACTGTCTCTGAGCTGCTGAGATTAACCCTAGTACAGCTGAAAAAAGTGTTCCTTCTTTAAACATTTCTGCTCACCTGATCTGAGAGGCTTCTAGAATTCCAAGAACTTGTATCAGTTTTAAAGCCAAGCAAATAATAATTGAAGCCTGAGAGTCTGGATGTTAGGTATGGGAGATTGCAGGGGGAGGAAAATTGCAATTGCTGCTTATTGGAAGTTAGCTTGTATAGGAAGGTGACTTGCTGTATAAATACCTGTATTCCTAACAAACCCTGAAGAGTTTCTCATGCTGGCTCATTTGTGGGTTAGTTATATGTGTGTGCTGATCAGGAAAGGCCCTGGACCTATTAGTAACTTCTCTTTTTATGTAAACACAAATGTCTTATGTTTTGTTGGATTTGTAGTGAGGTTCTTTTTTGTGTATGTGTTTTGGTTTTTTTCCTAACATGGTGTATTTTTATTCTTAATACGCTGGGAAATAGACTTGTCAAACAGAAACCATGGATTTTATGGCAAACAATGTCTGAAAATACCTAAAGAGAAGTGAGGAAGGGAGTTAAAATTACAGCAATATACAGAAAGCTGCTGTTGGAGCTATCAGCAGTGAATGATGATCCTTGACTATTAATGGAAGAAGGGGAGTTATTAATGTTTGATTCCTGCATTCAGTTTCTGGTGCCTGTACTTGAAGATACGCAACAAAGAATTTGGAAGGCACTTCTAAGATAGGGACCCAACTTATATCTCCTTATTGTTTCTCAGTAAACAAAGCAGTAATTTGATTACTGTGCATAGCTGCATACTGATAATGGAAGACAATTCAGATCTGTCTCACTAACTGACAGAAGAAAGAAAATATTCAGTGGCCAGACATTGGTCCTGAGACAGCTGCTAAGAATTCAAACAACAGAAGGGCTTATGCAGACAGCTACGTCATGATCTGTTCCTGATCATTGAGATATGCTTTCATCTAGCTTGGATAAATTGTTGGGCGGAGCAGGAGGAGATGGCTGAATGAAGATGACTGGAGGTGCTGATATGATAATATGTGCAGTTCAGCATTAAGGCAATAGTTTTTGGTGCTTAGGCTCTATAATTTGACCTGACTTCTCCACAGATGGTGTAGCCAGTTACTCTCGGAAGTACTTGCTACTCACATTCCTGTGAACATGTGCTCAGGCATACCAGAGAGTGTCATTTCTGGATTCCTGGCTGATTCCTTGCTCCAGGCAATGTGGAACTGAATGCAGGGAAGGGAAGCAATGTCCGCTGTCAGATTCTACCTTCCCCTGGAATTTGGAATGTAATCTCCTGCTAAGGTCATTCAAGTGTATTTCAGAAGTGATTCCTGAAGTTGTACTCATCATGGGTATTCATGGAATCTTAGACTTCCTTTCCTATTTTTGTTTCCTTGGATATGCCCTCATTTTACCCAAGGACTGATATGCCTTAATACAGCTGAAGTTTTTGTATTTGATAGGGGATATATTTTGACTTAAATCCTGTGGAACTGTATGGGAATTGCACAGGTCTAGAAGCAAGTTCAATGATTCTTTAAACATATGCATAAACTTTTAAGAAATATTTTATTTAGTGATACCACAATTCTAGCTAAAAATCCCACCAGCCTACTGAACAAATTTATAGGATTTGAAGGAATTTTGTTGCATTCCCAAAATATCTTTTGAGTGATATTCAGTGTGCGTGTGTATGCATTTAGAGAAAGAGAAATCTCATACAACACAGTTTGGAGGCATCTTGCCTTCAGATTAGCTTCATTTCTTTTCTGGTTATCTTTTTGTTTGCCTGAAGTGCTGCTTACTGTGTCCTTGGTCAGCACATTTACACACATGTCCTTTTACTTGCTAATAGCATCTTCTCTGAATAATCTGTTCCTTTTGTAGCAGTGCAGGTGTACTCAGGTGTCTGCACTGTGCAAACCAAGATGGCAGGGGGGGAAAAATAGAGGGTAGAGGGGGGGAACTTAGGAGCCCTGCCAGCTCTCAAAGCAGTTCTGAGTTGAGTAAAGCCCAAGAACTGGTAGTTCTCTCTGCTTGACTGCTGCAGTTCTGTGTCCAGCACTATGGGAGCTGCTCTTGCTTCATACACATAAGTGCCTCCAAGGACACAACCTGAGATGCTAAGCAAAAACAGACTTAACCAGAACTTTGGCATTTTCACCTTCAGAGCAGAGAGAGTGCCTGAGACAAAAACACTTCTTGAAATCGAAAGAAAACCAAGTGTTACCTGCTTTTCTAGCAAGGCATATAATGCAGTGTTGAAGTTACCCTCTTCCCCATGTGAACCTTTAAGCTAGGTGCTGTTTTGTGTCACCAGGAAACAAGCCTATCTTAGTGACCCCTGATAGTTCCTGAGTTGTTTGTACTCCAAGGAACATCTCTCTGCCAAACAGCAGCTGCTCAAACTCACAACTGAGATCACAGGTTGCTGCTTTTCAGTGAGCAGTCATCCCAGGTCTGCACTTCAGAAAGTTTCTCTATTCTACTGATTGTCAGCTGAGAAATAGGAAGCATTTATTTGGTGTTCTTATTTGCTTTTAGGATAATGTCTTTATCTCTTGCTTGCCCACCTCCAACTGATGCTATCGAAATTAAGGACAGCTTGGTTGTATGTCAGTGATGTTTGCACTTAGCCTCAGTCTCCTGATCCAAGGATCTTAGATAAGGTAAGAGCAGCGTTCAGTGAGTTTTGAGAGAAAAGTCTTTCTGAGGTTAGAAAGAGCCTGTAACAATGCCTTAAACACTTTAGTCTACTGGACAGCTAACTGTAGTAAAAAGCTGATTTTTCTTTTTGTCAGAGTTGAACCAGTGACCAGTAGAGCAGTCAAGCAGATACTGAAACTGTTTTATTGTATAGATAGAAAACTTAGGCCATAGCCACTTCACAGTCTTAAAAATCATCCTTTTGCTTTTTCCCTATAGATAAGGAGTCATATTCACATTCCCTCAGACATGATTGTGGAGTTCTCCAGAAGTCTTTAAAAACTTTGATTACTAAAAACAATTGTTTGGAAGGTTTTTTTTTAATGGGTGTCAACGGTGAGCTCCAAGGAGGATAGGATAAAATAAGAGACTTGTGTGGGTTGGCTGATTTAAAATACCTTTGCTCAACAGCTTAAGTATGTGACATGCTGGCAATCCATTTTATAGAGCTCTTCCTTGCTTCCTAGAAACTCTAAATTTAGGAATGCAGTTAATGTGAAATTAAGAGCTGTCTGTGCTTAACATGCAGCTAACTGTGGAGAAAACCCAAGGAGTAACAGTTGAGCTGGAAGAGACTGGGATAAATATAAACTGAGTGTGATGTAGATGGATGGACTCTGCCAAACATGGTGGGTGAATCTTCAGGGTACAGTTTCAGGCTTCACTTGACACCCTCTAGGTGTGTGGCAGTGCTGAAATGGGACTCTCTCTTGTGCTTATTCCTGACTCCAGCTTTGCTCTTTGGATCAGATCATCAGTTTATCCACTTAAAACAGTTCTGTTTGGCTTGAGTGTTTTCTCAGCTGGTTTGTCTTGTCTGACTGTAGAGTGACTTGGTGAATGCAGTCAGTAGCAGAAAGGTGCTGGGGAAGATGTGTGGTGTATCCTGGAAGTAATGGTGAACTGCTGGACTGGCTGACCATGAACCTGCAGTGTACTTCTGTACTTAGCAGGAGTCTGGAGGAAACTGTGTTCATGTGTGTCTGAACTGTGGCTTTTCTGTTTGGGCAGCTGGAGAGGGCAGAGAGCACTGCAGGCGCTCCCAGCCAGCTGCCCGGCCTCCCGGCTGCTCTGAGTCACCGCCCACCAGTGAGCGAGGCGACAGAGGGCAAGGAATGTCCTTTGGAGCAGTGGCTGGGGCCAAGCCTGTGTGAGTGTCACTCTGCTCTGCAGCAGGTGAGGCATGCTTGACTATGTCCTGATTTGCCAGCAGTGCATGTGGGCAGCAGCTCACATGATGGCTTCTGACTCGCCTTGTTTCACAAAGTCCCAAGGTGTGCAGAGGTCCGATTTCACGTATTGCAGTTTATACCAGTGATATTCCTGCATGAACACTTAAAAATTCTGGCTAAAGGTAGGCTTTTATCCTTTAGCCTGAAATCCACTGGCACTAGTTTCTTGGGTACATATTTGCAGAAATTGGTCTGTGCAAATGACAGTGTCCAAACCAGATTGTTGAGTGAAGTGGATGGAGACCTCTCAGAGCTGGTCACCCACTTCAGACATAGAGGAAATTTCAGGAGTTGTAATAA